ATACTATACATTTGTTACTGTTATCTCTTCTCTTGCTTTATATATTATACTATACAGTTGTTGCTGTTATCTCTTCTCTTGCTTTATATATAATACTATACATTTGTTGCTGTTATCTCTTCTCTTGCTTTATATATTATACTATACAGTTGTTGCTGTTATCTCTTCTCTTGCCTTATATATTATACTATTCATTTGTTGCTGTTATCTCTTCTCTTGCTTTATATATTATACTATTCATTTGTTGCTGTTATCTCTTCTCTTGCCTTATATATTATACTATTCGTTTGTTGCTGTTATCTCTTTCTCTTGCTTTATATATTATACTATACAGTTGTTGCTGTTATCTCTTCTCTTGCTTTATATATAATACTATACATTTGTTACTGTTATCTCTTCTCTTGCTTTATATATTATACTATACAGTTGTTGCTGTTATCTCTTCTCTTGCTTTATATATAATACTATACATTTTTTGCTGTTATCTCTTCTCTTGCTTTATATATTATACTATACAGTTGTTGCTGTTATCTCTTCTCTTGCCTTATATATTATACTATTCATTTGTTGCTGTTATCTCTTCTCTTGCTTTATATATTATACTATTCATTTGTTGCTGTTATCTCTTCTCTTGCCTTATATATTATACTATTCGTTTGTTGCTGTTATCTCTTTCTCTTGCTTTATATATTATACTATACAGTTGTTGCTGTTATCTCTTCTCTTGCTTTATATATAATACTATACATTTGTTACTGTTATCTCTTCTCTTGCTTTATATATTATACTATACAGTTGTTGCTGTTATCTCTTCTCTTGCTTTATATATAATACTATACATTTTTTGCTGTTATCTCTTCTCTTGCTTTATATATTATACTATACAGTTGTTGCTGTTATCTCTTCTCTTGCCTTATATATTATACTATTCATTTGTTGCTGTTATCTCTTCTCTTGCTTTATATATTATACTATTCATTTGTTGCTGTTATCTCTTCTCTTGCCTTATATATTATACTATTCGTTTGTTGCTGTTATCTCTTTCTCTTGCTTTATATATTATACTATACAGTTGTTGCTGTTATCTCTTCTCTTGCTTTATATATAATACTATACATTCGTTGCTGTTATCTCTTCTCTTACTTTATATATTACATTGTACAACTGTAGCTGCGATCTCTTCTCCTGCTTTATATATTATACTATATAGTTGTTGCTGTTATCTCTTCTCTTGCTTTATGAATTCCACTGTATATATTCAGTTTTTTATTTATAGATGTTAGTTCTTCTCTTGCTCCTCAATATATTATACTGTACAGTTGTTACTGCGAGCTCATATTTTGCTCAATACATTCTACTGTGCAAATATTAATGTAAGCTCATCCTTGCTTCATGTATTACACTGTACAGGTTTTACTGCGAGCTCTTGTTTTGCTCAGTACATTCTACTGTACAATAATGACTGTGAGCTCTTTTCATGATTTACATATTCTACAGTACAATTGTAGCTGCGATCCCTTCTTTTACTCATATATTGGACTGTACAGTTGTTACTGCGATCTCCTGTTTTGCTCAATACATTCTACTGTACAATAATCAATGTGAGCTCTTCTCTTGCTTTATGAATTGCAATGTACAGTTATTGCTGTGACCTCTTCTCTTGCATTATATGTTATACTGTACAGTTGTTACGTTGTTCCTGCGATCACTTCTCTTGCTTCATATATTACACTGTACAGTTGTTGCTGCGATCTCTTCTCTTGCTTTACATTTTCCACTGTACAATTATTGCTGTGAGCTCTTTTTTGCATCACATGTAATACTGTGTGAAAATGGCTGCAAATAATCCGCTACCTCATCTGATTTGAAATAAAGTGGGTCATGCAATTCTCACAGCTAATTGCCGATTTTGAGAAATTGGATTGTGAAATTCTTGCTGCAAAGCAACCGCCACCTGCTTCGATTTGTAAAAAAATTAATTGTGCAGTTTTAGCAGGAGATCAGCCGGAAGCAGAACCAATTAAATAAAAAACATATTTTTTATAATGGCTGCAGAGTGGCCGTTACCTGCGCTCAAAGTTCAAGTCAAAGGATTGTGCAATCATTGCTTCATATTGGCCGATACTTAAATTGCACTGGTTTAAAAAGAAAAATGAACGTTTTAATCGGCCGCTACCTGTTCCGATTAAAATGAAAAGGAAATACGGATCCGAAATGTAGTGCTGTTGCTTTAAACGGCGCAAATCTTGTTCGGAATTAAAACAGGTGTGATTGAATTGTGGTGAATAGACGAAGTCGCAGTTATACCGGAAGCAATTATGAAGTATGTTCGGAACGCGGACCGGAGCTTAACAGGGACTTGATATTTAATATCTTTGGTTCTACACTGTCGTGGGGCTGCATTAGGAAAGTCTTCAGAGGCTCCCAAGAAACATTGACGGAAAAAAATATATATCTTTGGTTGTTGACGGTGAAATCCTTCACCTCCTGAAGTCGGCGTCCTCGGGGATGCTGTCCGATCCTTTTATCTAGAGTGCTAAATGAGATGCTAATTTAATAAACATTCGTCTTAAGAACGTGATCTATATTCTTATATTGAAAGCTGACAGGAGGAAGACCCATGCAATGTTTTGACAAGGCAGGCAGTCGCAGTAACGCCCACTAAATTCGAGCCTTATTTTTGGCGCAAATTTAATTCCGTTTTGAGAAAAATTTCCACGAGAAATGTCAAGTTCCTTAGCCGATTTACATATATAAACGAATAAATAATTAATATAATTCTCAGTTTTACCACTAAGCGGCTACAAATATTTTGTTACTAATCAATCTAACGAGAGAAGATGAATTGACGAAAATGTATACTTCCTAAGCGGTCGATAACTCTGTGCACGGTTTTGGACTATTTCAATTACGATTTGTAGCTACTATATATATATGGACTCGTCGCTACAATTTTGAAGCATCTCATCTTATTGACGGATGTATCATAACATGGCTGAATTCCCACACGCTTTTGAACTGTTTTTCTACGAGGCGAAATCATATCTTATGCAGAAAATTCATCGACTGAGTCATCAATAGAGATCAAGAATATTTGAGAGGAGTGAGTGTGAGAAATAAGAACAATTAAGTGACACGTAAAGAATACAGAAAAAGCTTTCAATTTTGGAGTCGCTGGTAAATTCGTGAGTAGCTGAAAAATTGAAATGATATTCAATCTTAATTTTATTAACAACTTTTCGGCGACCGTCCCGAGTTTACAGCGCTGAACACTTCCATGTCTCCCAGTCTGTGATGTGCGTTGGAGTTTGACTTTTTTTCGTTACGCGCAGAAACTTTCGCTCGTCTTTGCTGTTCAAGAGTCTTAAGTGCCGGACAAGTTGGCCCGTAAAGAACAGCGTCCAAACTTTTAGTCGTGTCCGAATTATTGCAACTGTGTTTTATCCGGGAAACTTTGTGATTAAAATCGATTCTGCATTGCTATTTTATGTGTTAAGAGAGGTAGAGTGATCGTTTAGGATTTATTTTAGCTGAAATTTTAGGATTTATTTAAGCTGAAAACGATTAATCTCCCTGTCTGTTATTCCTTATGCAATTAAATTGTGGTGATTAAATTTTTTACATTGGCTTTTAGTAAGCATTTTATCACAGCAACGATAAACCTCAATATCATCAATATCATTCACAAATATCACTCCATGTGTCACGCGTAGACAGCAATCAAATAAGGTAATTTTTTTTTCATTAGATAAATCGCATTTCAATAGAAAATTATATAAAAGCCATAATATTCTTTATTTTTCATTAGATAAATTGTAATTAAATATAAAATTAAATAAAATTCCTACCAGTTCTGCCGGTATGCGCTGTTGACCCGGTGATCGTGGCTGTTGGGGAGGGCGAGAAGGTGAAGCTCGAGTGCCGTGTTGATGCTCATCCAGTGGACCAGCTGCGGTTCACGTGGTTCTTCAACAACACCTTGGACACGAAAGAGGTTCACAACGCACGAATATCCGTGGCGGGAGGCAGTAGCAGCCTGCACTACACCCCTACAACACCCCGGGACTACGGTACCTTGTCGTGCTGGGCCACCAACCAAGTTGGAACTCAAGCCGAACCATGCACCTTTACTGTCGTAGAGGCTGGTGGGTATATATACCCACCTTCTGGGTATAATATATTATAAAAAATACCCCCTTTCTTGTTATAATATATAAAAAATAATGTATAATTATGTTGTGAATAGTATAATTGAGACGCTTAGATATTAGGTGCACGCATATATAGTAAAAATTAGAATTAGTTTGCATAAGTGGATTAGGAATGTTATTACATGGGCACTTATTCGCTGGGTGTGCACTTATTAATTGTCAAAAAAGCACGGATAAATTACCGAATGAGACTGAGCAATATGCTTGTTTATACAAGTCCAATTAATTACCAAAGAATGCATTCTACTTAAATTTCTAGGGAGTCGACCAGTTCTTCGGATGCCGTTAGTAGATCCAAAAGGCAGGTTTCAGAAAATTATTTCATTGCATCCTCTGTTCATAAATCGAAGAGGTATGAAAAATATATCTGCAATTTAATAGTAACACTAATATTATTTAACATATGCTTATGGTCCAAAAATTGTTAAATAAAAAAATATAATTTATTTTATTATAATCGAGTTACAGAACTAAAATACATTAATTATTATATATGTGCATCGTAAACAAGATATAAATGTTTATATTACGTTCTCTTTCTTAAACGCAACTCACGCAAACGATTGCGTTCACACGTTACATACGCTTATGCGCATACACACATGTTACATTAATATGCTTATTAAATATTTTTAAATATTAAATAAGTCAACACAATAACACCCTCTCACCTCTGCTCCCTAGGTCCCCCCGAGAGCGTGCGCGACTGCATGCTCGTGAACCACACGCTCGGTGCCCTCGAGGTTCGCTGTGCACCGGGAGGCGATGGCGGTTCTCCACAGCGGTTCGTGGCAAAAGTTTTCGCGTCGCCCACGCACACGCAACTGGCGACGCTCGAGGCTTCGTTGCCAAAATTCCACGTGACGGGCCTGGTGCCAGGGCAGGACTACCTCGTCACCATAACTGCTGTCAACGATAAGGGGGCCAGTGAACCTCAACAGATCGACGCCATCAGGCTCAAGGTGAGACTACTTCCCTGTTGTGATAGTTAGGATAAGGTGGGACTACTTTCCTGTTGTGATAGTTAGGATAAGGTGAGACTACTTTCCTGTTGTGATAGTTAGGATAAGGTGAGACTACTTTCCTGTTGTGATAGTTAGGATAAGGTGAGACTACTTTCCTAAGACGACTTTCCTGTTGTGATAGTCGAGGTGAGACTACTTCCCTGTTGCGATAGTCGAGGTGAGACTACTTCATTGTTGTGATAGTTGAGGTGAGACTACTTCCCTGTTGTGATAGTCGAGATGAGACGGCTTTCCTGTTGTGATATTCGAGATGATACGACTTTCTTGTTGCGACAGTTGCGGTGAGACTACTGCCCTGTTGTGATACTCGAGGTGAGACTACTTCCCTGTTGCGATAGTCGGGGTGAGACTACTGTACTTCCCTGTTGTGATAGTCGAGGTGAGACTACTTCCCTGTTGTGATAGTCGAGGTGAAACTACTTCCCTGTTGTGATAGCCGAGGTGAGACTACTTCCCTGTTGTGGTAGTCGAGGTGAAACTACTTCCCTGTTGTGATAGTCGAGGTGAGACTATTTCCCTGTTGTGATAGTCGAGGTGAGACTACTTCCCTGTTGTGATAGTCGAGGTGAAACTACTTCCCTGTTGTGGTAGTCGGAGTGAGACTACTTTCCTGTTGTGATAGTCGAGGTGAGACTACTTTCTTGTTGTGATAGTCGAGGTGAGACTACTTCACTGTTGAAATTGTCAAGGTGAGTCTACTTCCCTGTTGTCACCATTAGGCTCAAGGTGAGACCACTTTCTTTTTGGTCTGTACAATAGTCGCCAGCATTTCTGCACAATAGACATCAGCCTGTCTGCACATTGGACGTTAACCTGTCTGCACAAGCGACACCAGCCAGTCTGTACAACAGAAGTCAGTCTGTCTGTAGAACAGACGCTATCTTGTCTGCATTAATGACACCAGCCTGTCTGCACTGAAGATGTCCTACTATCAAAGGCTGTGCGTGCGGAGGTCACGACAGTTTGCTGCAATCAATAAGCTTGTGTCCTGGATTCCTTTGGAGATACACTTCCTGGTACGCTAGTAATGACCGTACTGCATTCCAATTTCCAAGATAAATATATCTTACTTCTTTTTAACTTCCTGCACTAACATTGCTTGAACTCTTTTTACTTTAAAATCCAATCTTGACTTCCTAGAAAAGTAGGTCTGTGTCGTTACTGGAAGTCTCAGTAGAATTCTGTCGTTAAGTGGCAATCTGGAGTCATGATTAGCTCTTGATTTAGTGAGATAATTAAAGTATTATTGCGTCTGATTCACCGTTAATCAGGAAGTTTTAAATTTGAATTGGCTTCTGGTGCTGCAGAACAAGACGGAAAATTTAGCTTTTAACGTATACGTTTATTTATAATATCGATGGATCTACCAATGTTCATTCAACAGATTCCATTTTGCATATGATGACGATTACGATCACTCGAGACAATCATTCAAATTTATCTCACATCTTTATTCCACATAAACACCTCAATTAAACCAGTAAAATTCTTACCCTGTGTCTTTCAAAGGCAAGTAACGTTTAAAACCTGTAATTTCGATGATAATTTAGAAATTACCTTTGCAAAGTTTAAAATGAGATGTTCGACTGCAGTGCTAGAATTAGCGACTTATTCTAGATCTTTTTGATGTACTCCTAGCTGATATTTATATTTAAATTTTGAGGACTGAGGATAGGTACAATTAATACACGGTTGATGGTAACTACAATACACGGTTGATGGTAGCTACGATACACGGTTGATGGTAGCTACAATACACTGTTGATGGTAACTACAATACACGGTTGATGGTGGCTACGATACACGGTTGATGGTAACTACAATACACGGTTGATGGTAGCTACAATACACGGGGTGAAAGTAGCTATTGTTCGCGGGGTTATGGTAGCTAAAACTCATAACTGATGACATGAACAGTTGAACACGTATTAACCTGAGTCTCATTATTATTCGGTCTCATAAAATATGCAATTTGTTAACCATTGGGTAAATTTAATCGCTCCCCCAATAACTTACAATGTAGGGCAATAAGCACCCGTTGAAAAAACTGAACACTTGTTGAAAAAATGCATCAACAGAAAACCAAGGCCGAGTACCGACGAATATTAGCAAATAAGCACAAATGAGTCTGTGACGTCACTCTCCAAAAATGCATGTTAAATCATAATAATTAATAGTATTTTATAACTATAGATTTTCCATTATAATTTTTTCATTGACAAATTTTTATGTATATTAATTTATTTTTAGTCAAATTATCGGATTTCCAAGGCGAGAAGATGCGTAGTTGAAAATTTTTCCTGACATAAGAAGATTTCTCCTGCAGGAGCATTTCGGTGCATTGCAGTACGTTGCGGCGAGTTGCGGTACAATGAAGTGTGTTGCAGAGCACTGGAATGCATTGGATTTGGTTGGAGTGCACTTGAGGTCGACAACGTGCACCATAAAGCGTTGTAGCTCGTTGCCGTGAAGTACGTTGGAGTGCACTGGAGTGTGTTAGAATCTGCTGAAGTACGTTGGAGTGCACTGGAGCGTATTCGAATCTACTGAAGTACTTTGGAGTACACTGAGTGTGTTTAGACCTGCTGAAGTGCGTTGGAGTGCACTGGATAGTTTTAGAATCTGCTGAAGTGCGAAGGAATGCATTGGAGTGTTTTTTGAATCTGCTGAAGTGCGTTGGAGTGCACTGGATAGATTTAGAATCTGCTGAAGTGCGTAGGAGTGCACTGGAGTGTGTTAGAATCTACTGAAGTACTTTGGAGTACACTGAAGTGTGTTTAGACCTGCTGAAGTGCGTTGGAGTGCACTGAAGTGTGTTTAGACCTGCTGAAGTGCGTTGGAGTGCACTGAAGTGTGTTTAGACCTGCTGCAGTGCGTTGGAGTGCACTGAAGTGTGTTTATGCTGAAGTGCTTTGGAGTGCACTAAATTGTGTCGGAATCTGCTAAAGTGCATTGCAGTGCACTAGAGTACGTAGGAACTCGTACGTAGGAGTACGTAGTGCATTGCAGTGCACTAGAGTTCTAGAGTACGTAGGAGGAAGCGATGAAGTGCGACAAAGTGACGTGCAATAATTGCAGTGACGTGTTGTCGTCGAGCAATTGCAGAGCGCGGCTTAATTAGGCCTTGAAATGGTCGTCGCTTCGTCCCTGCCTCGTCCTAGTTTACGCCGGCAATCAAAGAGAGAGATTGTCACCAATCCAGCACAACGATGGTCCTTTCTCTAGAGCTCTTCTTGGTACTTCCTTCAAGTCTTTGCTTCACTCCTAATTATTTAATTAAATCTTTCCGCCCTTATTGCTAAATAATATCAAAGCTGAATTATGAAATAGTTCTTAAAACATTTCTCTAGTGACATTTTCGATCACCAACACTTCCTACTCTGCATTTAAATCTTACCTGTTGCATTATTTCTTGAGGAAAATTTTGCAAGCAGAATTTGAACGCAAGCTCGTAGAATTCATTATAATCTAATTTGCTGCCCAATTTAGCCAATTGGAAGCCCGACTGGCTGTCAGGAAATGATTAATTTGCATCCAAATTATTAGGAAAATGATCGCAATTTTACTCTCATTGTTCTTTTTGGAGTGCTTAAAATTCCAAGGAAACATCAAAAGTTGTTATTCACATTTTAGTACAAGTGATGTCAATAAATATATCATGGTTTTTATTTTGAATTTATATCAAACAATATGCCTCCAATAGTATTACGGAATTTAATATTCGTATATTGCTGGAATGGAGTCAGTCCTTGTCCAAAAAACCATGCAAATATAATTTTGTTTAGGTCACTAAACAAAACTAAAACTATACGCATCGGTGCTACGTTAATAAAGCATCACTATTAGGACATGCATACATGATTTTTGCCGTAAATGTTCTTGTGTATACCTACGAGTCAATAGAGATCGAATAACTCAACGGATATTGACCCTAATATTTAAGTAATTCTTCCGTGACCGCACAATAAGATTTAGATGCAATTTTTTATGGCTAGGAATAAAATGTGTCCAACAATGATGTGAGCTTCTATATTTGGATGGTATTTTCTCCAACTAAAATTTAATTTAAAAAGTTTCGAGTTTATTGTAAGAAAATGGTGATCCATCTATAGTGAATGTCTTACACTATGAGGAAGAGGGAGTTCAAACCTCACGTCTATTGTACACATCGAAATGCATGTATTTCTTTCATTCAAGAATTGTACCTTTATCGTAAAACGTATGAAGTTTTATAATAATATTTGTATAAATGGCCTCTTCACCTCACCGAATTCCATGAATTTTTTGTTCTCCAACCTTAAGATTTAACAAAATGACCAGTTTGACAGACTCCCAAATTGTATCATTACCGTTCATTGTTTTTACAATGAATGACAATTTTTCTTGTAAAACTTACTCAAACAGACTCTTCATCTCAGATAATTCTATAAATTTTCTGTTCTCTATCCTTAAGATTCAACAAAATAGTATTTAAAATCTTTCCCAATACGATTTTTCTGTTCTCCATTCCATATACATATTCTATGTATAATAGTTGGTAAATAACTAAAAATTATTATTAACGACTATTAATAACTAGCAATGACTAGTAAAAACTAGTAAATAACTAGTAAATATTTAGCAATAACTATTAATGACTAGTAATGACTAACATTGACTAGTAATGACTAGAAATGACTAGTAATAACTAGTAATAACTAGTAATTATTATTAAGGACTAGTAAAGACTATTAATAACTAATAATGCCGAACATTAATCCCCCCAGGTGGCAGAAAAGAGGATGGGGGAAGTGAGTGCCCCCAGCACGTCCCCCCTGGTGGGGGTGTTCCTGGGTCTGGTGGGGGGGTTCCTAGTGCTGCTGCTGGTCGTGGTGCTGCTTACCAGGCGCGCTCGCTCTAATGGGTCTGTATATATACATGAAAACATTTTTTTAAATATTAAATTATATGTACATTTTGTTTTTATTCAGTATATATACTGGCAAACATTTTTTAAATATTAAATTATGTGTACATTTTGTTTTTATTCAGTATATATACTGGCAAACATTTTTTAAATATTAAATTATGTGTACATTTTGTTTTTATTCAGTATATTTACTGGCAAACATTTTTTTAAATGATGCATTCGGTGTAAATTTTGTTTTTATTTTTTTGCAATAATTTTCAGAAATATGACGGATGCCTGATTATTATAAACATTGTTTCATTTAAATTTGAATACATTTATGAATGTTATTATAATAATGAATATTACCGAATTCTGTTTCATTTTAAGTGATATCCTTATAATTGCCATTTGTATTACGCTGGTCAATAAAATTTAATTACTCTTCAACTTCTAATCATTAAATGCACGTGATTACGCATGTTTTCAGGTTCTAATCATTCAATGTAATTTTCAAATAAGAGCGACCCTCTATAAAAATATTACGACGCTTTTTGACAGTTAAATGCACGTGATTACGCATGTTTTCAGGTTCTAATCATTCAATGTAATTTTTGAATAAGAGCGCACGTATTTAAAAGTATTACAACTCTTTTTGACAGGTCCGACTCGTGTGGTTGCCTGCACTCGAGTGGCGGTAGCGACGACGTGCCAGGCAAGACAGAAGTGCATTTTAGTCTACGGGACTCGCACGCCCCCGCTGAGTGTAACGCCTCGCCTATTACTCTGGCCAGTGACAGTCATGTGCGTAATGATGAAGTAACTGGCTTGCATCATCACCTTGGTCTACAGCAGCACTACAGGAGTCAGCATGATGATGACGAGGAAGAAGAAGGGTGTGATCTCGTCAAAACTTCATATGGTGAGTTAGAGTTATAGATTGTCCTTGTCAAGACTTCTAATGGGGTGTTGGAGTTATAGATTCTTGATGAAAAATCTTGGTTGACAAATGGCGATAATATTGAAGGAAAATATTAATTTTAAATGGTGGCAAATATTTTTTTATTATTATTAATACCTTGACTTCAAATACATTTTTCAATTGCTACCTCAACACAATTATGGTTCAAAATCAGGCGATGCATGCGGCTAAAGTGAACAAGTCGGTTGTTCTAAGCTTAATACAGATATTACTGCAGCACGTTAAATACTTATGTGCACTGGTTATGCGGTGACTCGAATTTAGATATACTGTCTTTAAAAGCGAATAAAACAGCCAAAAATTTACCATTACTTATACGAGAATTTTTTGCCGGTTTTCTTTGCTTTTAAATTCTTGATGAACTTGCAGTTTAAGCAATCAATTGATCTTAATTCTAGATATATTGTAAACCGAAGGCATATTAATTTTTTTACCTCATCTCCCTTCGTCTCTATCATTATTTGAAATATTTCGCTTTATGAGATTTAGTGGAAACAATAACAGGTGAGTCATGAGTAATTGAGGCAATACTACAAATCAAATAATTTTAGAATTTGGAAATTTCACAAACCTTTGATTTCAACCACCAGCAGTCCCACTGACAATTGCGCCAAACTTGTAATCCTAAGCAGTGCAAAATAAATATGTCGCTTTTAGATTTACCGTCGCTAGAAATGAAGTTATAAATCCCGTCGAGGTTTTTCACTGGCGTGGAAACATAAATATTTTAGAATAATGTTACACCTCTGCAATGTGTTCAAAATTTTTTAATCCGGAGCTCGAAACTCTTTTGTACGGAATTTATAAACTTTGACAGAAAGCGCTGGCTAAGGTTTTTTCGTCAGAACGAAAGCAATTTTTAATCTGAACTTGAAAGCGCTAACTTGGCTGCATTCTATTAGAATTCTATGTTATTGAATTAAATACAGCTTGTTAATAATATTATTATACATTATTACATAAAACCAAATATTCTCAAGCGTTACAATGAGTATTGTGTCAAGAGAATATTTAGCGCCTACGTCAATCCTTGATACCAGCAACAAAAAGCTAGAAGTTCCAACAAAAAACCGAACTTTTATTCACTTCAATTGTTTTGTCTTCAGAAACTTCGCAGCTTCTGAAGTTGAGCGGCCGCACCGAGCGGCCACCGTCCTACGTTGATAGCACCATGGTCAGTGATAAATAATAAATAAATTAATAAACAAATTAAGCCGATTAAAGAGATATTTTCTTTTACTGTGAAGAAGAATTTTTCAGTGTTGATTTAATGTGGTGAATATCAGAAAAAAAAACATTTTAATACTGAATAAGTCGGGAATATATCCTTCTAGTAATAACTACTGTGCTTCGTGCTCTTTCTTTGTTTTTTAACTATAAATTTAAGTCTCCCATACTTCTTTTTTCCAGGGAATGAGAATGACAGGAATGACAGGAATGACAGGAATGACAAGAATGACAGGAATGACAGGAATATGGACGGGGCAGGTAATGAAGGCTGCGCTGTGATGGCCATGAATGCCAGTATGACCGCGCAGCTGCCACGAACACCATGAAAATTTGTGGGCTAAATTGTCTTCGAAACTCTCTCTAATATTTAGCCACCGATGCCATTGAAAATCAGAAACGTGTTGGCTTTCCATTATTAAAAAGTTTGACTGTACCTTCAGTTCTAAAATGAAGTTTTTCATTTAAATGAAAAATGAAAATGGAGTGCATTGTTAACTTGGAGTGAGCGTTATTCACATTAGCAAATGACTATTCATTTTGAACGAGTGAATAATTATTAATTTGAATCATATGAATTATTATTCATAGGTAAATATGAGTTCATTTGGTGTGATTTTTCATACGAAGCAAGTATTTATTTATTTGTAATTTTAATTAATTATTTCTTTTAAATGATTATTCATTTGAATTCCTACATGTACTCCAGATGTCAAAGCTATTTTCAAGTCCCCAACGTACCGTTATTCAACCTCATGTATAACGACTACATTTTGCAGTAACAGTTTTATTATATAGTAGTGATTTATATTATTTAATGATGCTCATTGTTCTTGTTTCATATGGAATCAGGCGAACTATAATCGAGAAAAATAGGGAAACTGTGAGCAACGAAATGAATTTATAAGAAATTCCTTTATTTCTTATAAATTCATATTTCTTATAAATTCTTTATTTCTTATAAATTCTTTATTTCTTATAAATTCTTTATTCCTTATTGAGCTCCGTGTTTCTAAATATTTCTATTTCACACATAGTAAATTACAATACAAATTTCATATGATGATTTATGGTGACTCCTACTGCTGTACTCTTCGGGAGACGATGATGTGTCATTCCTGAAAGTGTATTCGGTGACACGTTGCTGCTGCACCTAACTGACGTGTGACGCATAAATGACATTGAATTTCATCAATGAAATTGACGAAATTGACGTTAAATGACACCGTTATAGCGGTACAATGAAAAAGCAACGAAGGAAGTGAAGAGGAAGTGAAAGATGCGAAGGGGTTACGAAGAAATTCGAGGGATCGTGAAGGAAGTTGAAGTGTAATGATGTGAATAGGTAACATAAAAAGTGCATGAATGGCGATGGAAGTGCAATTGTCATGAAGCGAAGAGGAATGCAATAAGCGAAGAAGAATGAAAGAAACATTGAAAGAAAGAAAGTTGTGGCGGTAGAAGGAAATTGATAACGTTGGAATGTAAGTGGTAAAGATAGAATGGAAGAGACAATGAAGGAAGGGAAGTGGTAACGGTGGAAGGGAAGCGTTAGCGGTGGAATGGGATTGGTAATGCGGAATAGAGTGTAGCGGATGGAGTTCATGTGTAGCTGAATATATGCAGGGGTAAATACCTGTAGCTTGTATACATGCTCCCAGCCTGACGCCTGTTGTATATTTGCCAAATTTTAAGAAATGTAATCCTGACGAGTGTGTGTTTTCATGCAAGCTTCTATGGTGTATATTTGTATAATCCACACAGTAAACATTCACCAAAAAACATGCATGCCAAGAACCCAATGTTCTTGCTTCAGAGAAATAAATACGAAACATTGTCAAAATAGTGACACATTTTCTGTACATAGCACAGATACGTCATTTACAGGACCAAACTTGGTCCTCCGGACCCTCTGTCCGGATTTGGACAGAGTCAAACTCACTTTTCTGAGTGTACGTTCCTTTGTATGTACTGTACCTATGGGTGCTGTTCATGTTGCCTACAATGCCAGGGTGTGATGTCAAGTTTATACCTTTACTGCATTATATTAGTTTTTATTTAATTTCAAGTTTTTATAATGTATGAACAAATTTGAAGCAATATTTATTGTTATCAAAAACTGTTAATTTCTCACGGCAAGACCTTCACGCTGTAAGTAAGGCCCTGCGGTTCTCAACAAATTTGTAACTAAAAATGCCTTCCTACGAATATCAATATCAATGATTATTGAAGCCAAGATTATTAGTTCTATTCCCATTTCTAAAGAGATAATGACGATCGTTCGTTCCTCATCAAAATCTGCGGATGGATCAATCAGATAAAGTAAACAATGTCCGTAAAATGAACGGCCTCGTTAGCCACTGGTTATAGTGAAGCTTTCTTTGCTCACGATTTCTTTTTGTTTACAGAGTTTCAGTGAAGCTTCATTTGCACACGATTGATTAGTGTTACAGCGTTTTAGTGAAGCTTCATTTACGCACGATTGATTATTGTTACAGCGTTTTAGTGAAGCTTCATTTACGCACAATTGACTTTTGTTTACAATGTTTCATTGGAGCTTCATTTAAGCACAATTGATTATTTTTTAACAATGTTCCAGTTGAGCTTCATTTAAGCATATTTGATTATTGTTACAGCGTTTTAGTGAAGGCTCATTTAAGCACAATTGATTATTGTTTACAATGTTTCAGTGGAGCTTCATTTACGCACAATTGATTAGAAGCTTATTGACGTCCATGTAAAAAACTGTTGAATGGATGTAAGATTTCTACAAGCCATTGAGTCTCTATATATATACACAGATGTCTCAAATCGAGTCATTTCATCAGGTAATAATTATTATTGTACTAGATCATTGGATAAAGTCATGGCATCTTGTTATGACACCGTATCACTATACCTCATAATTGTACTGGATCATTGGGTCAATTCATAGTACCAGGTCATTGCATCGGGTCACTATACCGGATAATTTTTTTTACGTCATCATAGCATTCGGTCACCGTACCGGATCCGGTTGTACGGAGCACCACGTCCAACCGTCTCAGTTTTTTGCTTCTTCTCGCATCTTTCTCTTCACTTGATTGGTTAAATTTATCTCGTTATTCAGTAATATTTCGGTATTCCACTTATTCATACGTTTATTTTTTTCTTCGTGTCACTGTTGGCTTTTTTGGCTTTATTGCCTCACAATTACATGTAATTTCCTATACAATACCAGGCTCTCCAAGGCTAAATGGACCAAACAATAGCAAAACAACCGAACCTTGATTATTATATCCCAAGATGTAGAGCATCAGTGGTTCCATTCATGCTGTATTAATATTAATAATTGTTATTTAATGACATTACAGTGGCTTGTACCTCGACACGGCGTAATTTCCATTGCACTGCCTAGACCTC